AACGGCATCAGCCAATAGGAACGGTCCATGTTCCCGCTGGAAACACGGATCAGAGTGAAGACTTCAGCTCAGTCTTTTCCAAATGCCACAGACTCTAGGGTTGTGAAGATAATATCTTAAATTCTTTAAAAAAATCTTTTTACATAGCTTGGTTCAGAACAATCATATTCTTTATAGTACTATGTTCTCTGCTGCTTGTTGCTTTTATTTGCTAGTTATAATAATAAATTATCATTTATAGATATTTTTGTACCTCTGCCATTGTTAGCTAAAAGATTTTTTTCAATGATTATCAGCCAAACAATCAGCCAAGAATAATGCAGGATAGAATAGAATCATGTATTTTAATTTTCCTTCTTTTCCATTGTAAGGACTGAGCACCAGTACTAAAGTTTTAGATACTCTGCAAGTCACATGAATATTTCCTCAATATGTTCCCTGTTTCAGACTGCTAGCCAATAAGGTAATTCATTTTCCTCCAGCACCAAGCTGGTACTTTTGCTGTTTATGATGATAAACCCTTTGTAAATGACGACTGCTTTTGCAACGAAAAACCTGATGATGTAAATGTACTGTTTGCATTTTATTCCCATTTCATTTATGATTTAAAAAATAACTTATGTTTCTTCTGTAAAATATATATTAGATACAAAATATTTGCATAATTCCCAGATTTTGCAAAGTGGGTAGCATCATCTCCTAGGAAATTATTTTGAAGTTCATGAAAGTGGACAGGGAAATATAACCAAGTTTGGTATCAAGATTTTGTGTTTCCGCAATTTCCAGTTTCTTTCTTTGAAATTACAAATAAGGATGGGCTTCATTTATAAATAAAAACTTCTGCAGCATTTCTTTTTGGATTCTAGAGCTTTATAGAGATTATAAGATGCTACTAAAGTAATAAGTAGTTATAATAATTGTCTATATTAACCAAAAATGTGTCTAATGCCTATACCTTTCCTCAAATATACCATCTCTGAGGAGGAACAAGAATTTCAGTTGAGGAAATCATATTAAAAAGATGAAAAACTAAAAATAATGACTTGAGATTGTCCAGGGCTAAAAATGAAACAAAATCATACAGATTGCTAGAAAGAAATGTAAAGATCATCAAGCACTCTGTTCTATGTACAACCTACAGTGGTGGTTACAGCTAATACTACTATCAGCATAGCTGGGTTCTTACAGCACATAAATTGGATGATCTAAAAAAAAACCTAAGCAGCTCAAACATAGTGAATAGTTGGAAACCACCAGGAAATCCTAGATGGTCAGTTAGAAGAAATTAAAAAAAAAACACAATCTCATTAGTACAAGTTGAACTAACATAAAGGTGTATGTCATGTGAAAAGAACTAGCACAATCTACATAAACAAGTGCTGAGAATACTAGTTTTTCAGTGGTTGCTTTTGTGGTTTATAAAGTGAGATGTTTTCTAATGGAAACAAGTAAATTAGAATAAGTGACACCCATTGTGACTGATCAGACATCTACTGTTGAGTCCAGAGATAGAGTAGCTTTTTTTCTCCTCAACCCACACAAGTCTCCAGGGAAAAAAGGAGTCTGGAAGACAGAGTGCAGGTATGTGAAGGCTGAGACATGCTTGAGCCGGTACACAGGGTGTGGTATGAGATCTGAATCACCACCTCACATTCTGACTCACTGGTTTCTTTTGATGGAAGGGAAACAGATCGGATAATAAGGTAGACCTGGTTTCTACATCTTTCTCTAACTCCCCAGCTCTTCCCCCACAAAAAAATGACAGGGAGTATAATTGGTCAGTGTCAGATCAGTAGTAAACGAAGCAAGGTTTTTAGACACATGTTTATTTTTGTAGTATTCATCATGGCTGATGGTGGATGACTTCTCTTATAAAGATGCAGGTATGCAATTTTGATAAGCAGGGTTAAACCAGCATCGTGAGTTGATGAGTCATGCCTAGTGACTGGTCTGGTCCCACTGGAATTGAATATGAGGCAATATTGGCGCCTGTAAGAAGGAAAAAAATAGCAATGATAATAATAGCTACCTTTCAGGAGAAAACAAGTGCCAGAGAGTTTGGAGAAAAATGTTGGTTGCCTACTACTCAGCTCTTGAATTAGGGCAGGCTTGCCTGCAAGCCAGAAACAATTTCTCTTCTCCCGTCATGGTGACTCCAGTGCTCTGATATCCACACAGTTACAATGCAAAGGTGCAGAATATAATTTGCAAAATTTTAACTAGTTTAGTCACAACCTACTAGAATCTTCTCTCCTATGTCTCATTTTTTTCCTAAAGTACCACATGTAAGGATACTTCTTGTACCAGTTTTAGAAAGCATGATAGGAGGAATTATTGGGGTGCCCTCATAGTTAAGTGCATTTTCCTATAGATACAGGATTTTCAATGCCTTTTTAAAAGTCCCATAATATTTCCTCTTCAGGCCTAGCCTTTGCTGTTAAATCTAAGAAGAACAAAACCTATTCAATTAATTCCAGCCATTATAGGTTGCTGTTTTCTCACAACATGCACACATAACCATTTATACAAATATATTGATAATTATGTTTGCTTATGTTTTTGGTGATATGTAAGTTTACAATTTTTAATCATCTAAACCTTTAATAAATGGCAGAGTACAAATATGAATACAGTAGCTGTGCTCACAGAGAACACTGAAACCTAATTCAAATTTAACAGAAACAGTTGCTGTGTTCATGTAACATGTTATACCTAACCAAATAATCCCTATTATGATTTATCAAGTTGCAATAACCCTTATTATGACTTATCAAGCTAAGGCTGGCTTCCCACAATATGATGAATTACAAATGATCCAATGCCATTTTAGCCTATTCTAACATGATGTGCGAACTCAGCCATGAGAGACTATGAAGAGAGGACATACAAATGGTTTAAACGTTGATCACCTGGCTCCAATTTTGCAATCCCACACGTTTACTATATTTTTAAGCAGTAAAATCAGGGCAGAGGGTTTAGCATTTTTTCAATGTTTCTTCATTTGCCTGCATAACTTGTAAAAGCAAAGGAAGGAGGGAGTTTATTCAGTTTAATCCGGAGCACACATTTAATTATTGGAACTCTTTTCCTTTCCTGGAAAAGGCAAGGGGGGAAGGGAGTGACAAATATTATTCTCTCCCTTTGCTGTTCCGTAGCCCTACTTCCTGAACCTTTTTTTTAAAACCAGTGCATATTTAATTGGGACAATCCAAGTTAAACTAGGGCATCTGTTCTCACCCATATCTTCTTTTCAGACAAATGATGTACTTCTTGCAGTTTTTACATTCTTCACATTTACAGCAGAATTCATAGGCCGCCATCCTTCTCAGGAATTATCTGCACTGTACAAAGAAATCAACCAAGAACATGCCATTTAGTATATATTATTCCTGCAGAGTGGGAAACCATAAGATCCTAATCTGTGAACCTGATCCTGTTTTCAGGACATTTTCTGAAGTGCAAACTGAACTGCTTTGAGCAGAGAGTTGAATTCCAATAATTGTACTATCCAAAACTAAAATGTGCTTAAGTTTAATTTATACAGCGGGACCAATTTAACCACTGAGTTACCTTTAGATCATTATTCATATTTATTTGTTCATGGCTGCATTGTTGACCTAGTTTACTAATGTGCCTATATGCCACTTCAAAGTAGAGACTAGGGAGCGTGGAGAATATATATGATTAAATGCTTTGTAGGCTCCTCCTCCAGATTTCACCAGCTTATTTAATTCCCTTGTTGAATTTAGAGCTGCTTGGTCATGTGATCTCTCACTCTCATGGAATCTGAAGTGGTTAGTCCAGAGTGTGCCATTGTTTTGTTTTAGAGGAGGCCAGAGGCCTTTCCTTAACCAGAGAGCCTTTGATTGTTTAGCCTCCACTTGGGAGAATGAAGAAATGTACAGATTTTATCTTTGTCCCTTTCACACTTTTTGTCAGACAGGCTTATAAATAGCCAATATTTATCTGGTGGCAAAAAAGTGTGCTCATGAAATCTGTTGGGAAATTTTTGTAAGGGGAATAGTTTTAAGAATGCCTTTCAAAAGCTTAAAAATTGATTTGTGAGGACAGATGTATCTGTACAGAATTGTTGCATAAAGTAGTAGTTTTTGTGGTTTTGTGGTTGTGAAGCTCTTGGTAATTTGGAATTGTGTAAACCTACTGGTCAAGACTTTTTTCATTCGTTCATTCATTCATTCATTCATTCATTCATTCATTCATTCATTATATCCCTCCTTCATTTTACAAATCCTGTTTCTTCCTCCTATTTTCTCCATAACAACAGTCTTGTAAGGTAGATTGTGCTGAGAAAGAATAATGGCCCAAGGTCATCCCGCTTCACCACTAAGGGAGGACTTGAATACAAATAGGCTGTTATTTGTAGTTTTTCCCACTGAGATGGCAAACGTGAAAGTCTTTGACTAGAACTGACAAAATATCCATTCTTAGGAGGGTTTCCCATGAAAGGACAAGATTTAAATGTCCCCACAATTCTCTCTGCTCTTTGTGAATGGCAAGCGTGATTCAGGTTAAGCAAAATTCCATATGACTGGCCAAATTTTCTTGTATAATCTTGAAGCCTAACTGGTAATTTACAACAAAGACTTTTGTGGAGTACTTTATCAAAATATACCCAACCACTTCATCATTCATGAGAACATTGGAGCAACAAACATAGTTTCACCATGAGGTACAAAAGTGGTTGGCACAATACAACAAAGGGCGTGTGAAATTAGACTTTCTGATAACTTCCTGTGCCACCTGAATTGCTTTTTGAACTCTGTCATCATTGCTTCTTTGATCCAAAGAAGAACTCCTGAGTCACCTTTACCTGATTCTGATAATGAAGTCATAGGTGAATGAAGAAATGAACGAGGAGCGAGATTTTTTTTTTAATTCTAGAATTTAAAATTCTAAAAAATTTAAAATTTAAATTCTATGTAAAAGCATGTATACATCTGAATCAAAAATGATAAATAGAAATGTGACTATTAACTAGGCATTTTCCCATTGGCCTATCTGTTGAATTTGGGGAGGAACTACCTGCAAAGAGGCTGACTGTGAAATATGTTTATCTCACATGAAACCTTATACAAACTGGCACAAGGTTCTAAGGTTAATAGTGCTTGGATCCACTTAGATTTATAGCTATATTGACCCTATGTGACTGAAAGTCACCAATTTCTTTTGACACAGATGAACTCAGTGTACGTACCTTTATTTTTTCAATTTAATTTTGCATATTCTCCGTTTCCTAGACAGTTTTTTTATCTGAATGATGTTTATACTTCTACACAGTTTTACCCAGGTGTACATCCTAATTAATTCAGTCATGCATCTTCCTAGTAGATCTGTTGCCTAATCTATTAAATTTAATGGTTTTAAAGCTTTTTCTTTGTCAGAAAAGTACAGCAGGTTTGATAAAGTACCTACAAAAACTATGATAAATATCACCTGAGAAATTGGGTAGAAAATTATTCTTCTGCATTTTTCCTGTATATCAAAGGGGCTGGAAGCATCTTCTGAAAATTAAAATCTGGGAAAGAATCTTGTATATTACGGGGTAGTTTTCCTCCCAATCTTTCAGAAGTATAGATTTTAGTTCTCATTATTGACAACAGTAACCATGGTAGCTGGAGAATTTGGGCATTGAAGATCATACATCTGGAAAGGAATCAGGCTGGGTGAGGCTATTTCATATGTTGGTTCTTGCAATCTGTTTTCTTTTCAGAAATATACCTATAATTTGGATCTTAATATTAATTCATACAGCAGCACTAGCATTATAATTTGCAAGAGTATAACCTCATTGTTATACTCTTACTGAATCTTCTGTCAATGCATTGTTGCATATGTGATTCTCTTATACTACTCTCCCATATTACAATAATTATTAAGTTTATATTAATGCATATACTGGATATTATATTTTTCAATGAAGTACAAGCAAAAAAGCCAGAGCCAAATGGCAGCAACAGCTTATATTTGGAAAAATTGCATATAAAACAGATTATATGTGGGGATTTGTGTAAAAATGCCAGTTTGGTGTAGTGTTAAGCTGAAACGAGGAAACTGAGATTACTAGCCCTGCCTTAGGCATGTAAACTGGGTCGATGCCCTTGGTGTACTCACTCACTCACTCTTAAGCCAACTCATCTCACAGGGTTGTTGTTATGAAGAAAACAACAACAGCAAGAATTGTTATGTACAGTGGCCACTTTGTTACTTATAAATAAGGTTGGGTTAAATCAAATAAAAATAAATAAAAATACTGTGTTTCAACGTAGTATACATTGGGATAGTTGCATACAAAAAACAAAAACAAAACTCCAAGTAGTAGACTGTCCTGCAACTCATATAGAACATTATATTCCACATACTACAGAAATAAATGTTCAAAAATTGAAGTTTCCCTGTATTAAATAAAACTGAAAATTCAATGGCTATTTGTCACATATTATACTAAGCCATAATGTGGCTTGCTTTGTTTTGACACAATTTGATGAGTTTATAATTTATCATAATCATATGTTTCATTATTCAAGAAACCATGGTTAAAACAAATCTTATTTGTTTTAATGCAAATTTGTCTTGCATACTGCCATCTTATACTCGTTATTCACAAGAATAAATTGAAGCTTCTATTCTCCTTTGGGACTTGAATCAACTGTACAATTAACTGTGTGCCTTCTGTATGGTTTACCTCATTATTATAATATTTGAGTTTAAGGGAACCCATTGACAATACTCATATCAAGATATTCTAGAGCTGATATTGTTCTGTGAAGTTAGAGAAGAGAATGATATAGATTCATTTGGTTACCTGTATGCTATTTTTTCATGTCAACCAGATCGCTGACTAATTGCCTTGGTGAGATTGCTGGGTTATAACTCCATTTATGTTCCTGTAGTGCTATCAAATTAGCTCAGGGAAGATAATTTACCAAAGATTGCAACAATGCATTTTTTCAGCAGCACGTTTTTAATTGTATATGTCACTTTGAAAACTTGAAGGTGATTCATACAAATAAGCAACTTTTGAGCTGAATTTTACTGTCTAATTTAAGCTAGAATGAGATAATTGTAATAATATTGGAAAAAATGTGGTTACTTGTTTCATTAATCATCACCATTAACCATTTCACTAACCATGCATATCTTTGTGCCCTTTGAATATGAAGTGTTACACAGCTTTAGTGTGAACATATTTAACTACATGATCCTGCCACTTCCTAAAAACAGCAACTTTTAATGTAAAAAAAAAAGAAAATGAAATGTGATAATGTTTTGAAGAATTGCTTTAAAAACAACTTGCATTTACCTCTCAGAATTTTATTCTACCTGGATATTTGCATCATCTTATTTTGGAAGAGTTAGTCAAATTATTATTTGTTACAGATAATGACATGGATCTTGGAATTCCCAAAAATACTCTTAACAGGATGTTGGGCAATGCTTATGAAGGTGCCCTGCCATCTGATCATACTGGAATCCTTTCCAATGACAATCCTCTCTGCAATGGTGAGCAGAGCAACTTTCTGACCCACACTGATGTGATCAAGCGTTCTCAACCTCTGTTCATCCAAGCAAATAGGTATGTTACAAGGGAGAAAAATCAGTGTGATAACACAAAAGGCTTGTTTTTATAGAAGTAGAAATCAGTGGTGAGAAAATTTAGTCTGATCTTTCAGCTTTCTGTGGGAATCAATATCAGTGCCAGAAATAACTATCAAAAATTATTTCTGAACATGAACAGAGTATAAGCTTATTAATACAATGACTCTGCCTTGTGTTTTACACATAATTGAAAAATAGAAGAAATTATGGGGAGTCTTGAAATCTGCTTTCTATATTTTGAATTAATTATTGTCCAAGTTATGTCTGTATCTCATCTAGAAATAGAACAAAATGAAATGTGACTCATAGGCTAATAGCTTTTTGTTTTAGTGTAGAAAAAGTGAAATAGATTATTAGTTTTATCTACAGTTTATTAAACTCATCATGAGCTTAATAAATGATCAAAATGAATGATCAAATGATCAAAATGAAATATTAGAACCAAAGTTTATAAGTAGCATGCAAATCTTTCGTTTGATATGATAGATAATTTTTTTCTGTGAGGATCACGCTACCTTTGGGATAACTGCTGAGTCTGCATGCCAATGACCATTTGGGTCAAAATAAAAACATGGTTGGAATCAGCCATTCTGCTAGTCATTGTGATGTACTTTCTTATACATTCTTGATCTAAAGGTACTTGATTTCATTTTAATTCTGAAACTGAGAATCAGTTAATTTTGAACTGCAGTGCTAAACCATTTCATGTCATGTAAACCATTTTGAATAACTGCTTAGATAAATCTGCACACCTTGTCTCTTGTGGTGCCTCAAGATGCTTTGGTGGATGTGCAAACGTTCATCCTCAGTGATGGCCATGCATATAGATTACAAACCTGAAGTGACATAGAAGGATTGGGGAAGAAAAAGCCAAAAGAATTAAATATTTGCTTTCTTGTCTGCTCCCAGTACTAGTGGCACACAAAACTGGATATAGCAAGTTTGCTGAGTCTACTAAATGTTGAATGCGCTCTTTGTGAACAAGTGCAGAGTGATCTAAAGTCTGGGCAATAAGTGCTGAATGTGATATATTGATCTGAAATAATTATATGCAAGAGATGAGCTCAGACTTCTGGTAGGAATTATCTGACTCTTCTCTGAAGCTTGCTGTTTGTGGGATAAAAAAAATAAAGTGTCAGAAAAAAAATAGAGATTTCCAAGAGATAATGAGTGTCTCATGTGTATTTGGTTCTGCTACAGAATAATAGACTTGGAAAGGACCTTGGAGGTCTTATAGTCCAACCCCCTGACCAAGCAGGAAACCCTAGACCATTTCAGACAAACGATTGTCCAATCTCTTCTTAAAAACCTCCACTACTATACAGCACCCTCAACTGTATCCCCCATGTTTCTATGCGGAACACTTGATTTTGAATTATGGGTCTAGACCATTTGTCATATCATGTAGGGCACTTTGACTTACTGGTAATTGCTTAAATAAATATGTACCACTGCATTTTGCCTTTTATGATGCCTGAGATACTTTGATAGATGCACAAACATTTGTGTTTCAATAATAGCCATGCTATGCATATAGACAACGTGATTAGCTCTGAGGGAATAACTTAGTTAGAAAAAAAAACCCTACTCCAATAATAATAATAGTGATGACATTATTAACTAACACAGATGTCCTATTAGTAGCTAACCCATTTATAACAATATTTCCATTCTTTTCCTTTAGAAAAATGAAGGAGGAAAAGCCTCATACCTTATCCTTGCCTTCTATCCCAAACCCTTTTCCAGAACTCTGTAGTCCCTCAAATTCACCTATCCTCACCAGCTCCACACTGGGGCCAGGATCACAGCGTGAAGGTGGCTCTCATGTAAGTGTATCTATTTGCATTTGGGGGAAGAGGAAGATGGCCCAGGGCTATACCAGTTTCTCCTTGCTGGTCCAGCTAGGTGGCAATACCTATTTGACTTGGCTAATCTGGGAAAAGCTAAGGTTCCTAAATAATTCCTGGATAAAGACTAAACTGTAAACCAAGAAAATATTTCAGAAGAAGAGCATGACTATTCAAGAAAATTTCATGGAGATATGCACAAAACCTTTAGGGATTGAATTCTTAGGAAAAATCTAGAAGAACTTTACGGGTTCTTTTTTTTTCAAAGCTGGAATGAAACAGAAGCATAGTAAAGATGCTTCTGAAGGATCCTAGAGGATCTTTCCCTCTCATCACAATCCCCCTTAAGTTTAGAGTAGCCACTGGCAAGTTTAGAGTAGCTTCTCCCAATGTGGTAGCCTGTACATATGATTTATTTCAATTCCACAGGTTCCAAGTGATATGGTCTTTGATTAAAGGAACTAGTTTCAGGGAGTTTGTTTTTGAGTCTTGCAAATTCAGAGATGATAAAAAGCGTACCAAGGTACATTTTGGCAGGATTACAAAAAAAAAGCGGGGCGGGGGGGGGGCAGTCATGTATAAAAATGAAGTGAAAATTCCCTGCTGGCCCACAGTAAGAATGATTTATAGCTAAATAACCTGACAGGGTATTATAATTGGCTAGATTCACACATTGTGCAAATGTGTTTTTTTTTTTATTTTGTTTCATGGAACATATGAATCCAGACACTATCTTTTTAATCAACCATTTTTAATTAAATAAATTCCCTAACATATCAATTTGAATTTGAAACCTGGAAATCTCTTGTAATATTTCCTTATTTTTCTGGGTTTGTTTCAATTTTCAATATCCTTATAAATATTGTAATTCTGTTTTCTTGATAATTCTAAAAGCTCCCTGAAATTCTTTGTTAAATTCCATCCTAACACAGCAAGTTGCACATTATATAACCATGTTTCAGCCAGCCATATTGCAAAAAACCCAGCCCATTACTCCTTTATTCTCCATGAAACATCCATCAAAATGATCCGTTTTTAGAATATCCTTAGAACATAATCTAACCCTAAATTGCAGGGCCTGCTCTGTTCTCAAGAGCTGACAGTTGAATCCATAATGTTCAGTGTTATCCATTATTTTTCCCCTTCCTTAAAGTATGGACAGAAGAACAGTCAAGGGAAATTTACAGCTTTGGACTCTTGAGTTCCTAGAACAAGATATGGCAAAGCTGGTTCCCTTAGAAATTGTTGCCAAGATTCTTAGGTTTTGTTTAACTAGTCTGGGTTAGGAGTCTTTAATTATGGGATGGAAGGCTTCCAGCTGCTTTGTAAGTATTGGAGTCCACTTGATGTCTCTTTGGTTTCTTATCTAAAGACATGCTTTAAAAAAGAAGAATTTTGATGTGAGGCACAGGCAAGCTAACAAATCATCTGATAATCTATTATCAGATGGTATGCTAGCCTGTCTGTGCCCACATCAAAGACATTATTATAAACATCTTATTCTTGCTGTCTGGTTATGATTGCTAATAGATATTGTAATAATATATATGTTTATTAAATAAAATAATCCACATTTATATCACAATAAATAGCAATCAATTCTACAGTGAACTGTAAGAGACATCAGAATTGTATTAAGAAAAAGCTGCAAGCCCATAGTCAACGAATGCCATTTCCATTTTAAATTTAAATTATTTCAGGGAGAGAGCATATTCTTTCTTTCAATTTTACTGAGTAATTCTGATAAATAGAGCACCCTTTCTCAGACTGGTATCCTCAAGTGTTAACTTGTGAAGAGTTCTTGAAGTTATATTGTAACTGATTAGATTTATTACTTTCAATGAAAGGTATTGATCCAGCTGACCATTTCAAATTTTAAATGATACTTTGGCTCCACTTCGTATGTAGGAACTGATCTCATTTCCCCTGCTAACCCTAACCCTAACCCTAACCCTAACCCTAACCCTAACCTTTAAAAGGAAATATTAAATTAACTAATATTCACAGGAAGTTGTCTGTGATAAGAAGCCACAAATTTAATTTAGAAAGTCACACTGAAGATTTAATTATTTTTCATATTTCAGAAACACATTGATTTCACTCTGTACATTTTTATTTCGAAGTACTAAGGGACAGACAAGATGGGATGAAGCCACCATGCGTTATTATTCATCTCTGAAAGTGACCAGTGACCATACATTTTTATAAACTAAACACTTCTTACTTTCTCATCTGACTTTTGTATTAAGAGAAGTTTCATTTGCAGTCTTCAGTACAGCAATGAGAAAACAGTGATTCTTCAAATATTTTTGAAGTATAACTTTTAGCAACTCCAATCTGTAGAACCAATGGGAACTAAGTTCAGTAGCCTTTTGGAAGTTTCAGGGCTGTCAAACTCATGTCGTCATGATGGCATCACCTGACATAGCAGGACTTTTCCCCCCTCCCTTCACTAAACTGGGGGTGAGCATGGCCAGCATGTGACACATCTGGGCCACAGGCCAGGAATTTGACAGCCTGGGTACCAATCCCCTCCCCCCATGATCACTTTTTTTATCTGCAAACTACAATAGGAAAATCAAACAAAGCCCTTCATTCACTGGCTCCTGTTGATCAAGTTAAAGTTGTAACTTTGTAAAGTTATTAAAGTTGTAATAGCCTATGGCAATAATTTGAAAATTATTGAAAAATAAGTTGGCTGTACTATATCTGGCCTACAAAAAGCTAATGCCCACTAGATAGCAGCCAATAGACACAGAAAACTTTAAATCCTTGCTGTCATCCAGTGATGTTACTTATTTGTATAGCTTATATGTTGTAGCCCTCATAAATGAATACATTATGTAAGTGCAGTATCTCTCCTTTCCAAATATTAGTACTTAGTGCTAGTGGCAAAAATGACTTTATTTCTTATTTGTTTGTTGTATTCTAAATTTTGCTCAGCCTGCTTTTGCATGGATCAGTGGACATTGGTTACCTATTAACCTCCAGTCATCAATGCTAATTTAAAAAATAATTTTCTAGATCTCAGTACAATTAAAGGCATACTTTTAGATTATGTAATAAACTAAGACCCACTACTTATGTAGTATAGCTATTAAAATATAATATTTCTCATGGAATTTAAATTACTTTTTGTAGCTGCCAATTCTTTACAAGAAGGATGCCTTTCATCTTAAATACCTGCAAGGAATGTGCAGTGTTGCTGTTGTTACAAGTTTGGTGGCATACCTTTGGGAACTTGTGCAAAAGCGACTCACTAAAGGACTACAACTATCCCTCGCTGGTTTGGAATTTAACAAAATCTAAATTTGTTTGCCCTAAAACCTGGATGATAATGGGAATTTTTTAATGGAGGTTGTCAGATCACTAGTGTATAAATACTGTTTCACACATTGTATAGTGTTGTCAACAGTAACATCAACATAAATCATAATAGCAAAAACAGCATTAAAAATAAAATGTGAGATTTCCATTGACTGATGCCCAGAACACTTTGCGGAAACACAGTATGATAGGTTTTCTGTTTGTGTGAAATAATAATACAATATTTAAATAAAACAATAAAGGGGAAAAATTTAGAAATAATGATGCAGAATATTTGTCTTTCTAGAAATAAGGGACAAAAAGGAGATTCACTTAATTTCAAAGAGCTTGTAATATTTATTGATATTTTCAGGCTTTTTGCTAATAGGTAAGAATGATTACATAATAGTAGAATGCTTGCTTCAAGTGCTTTATATGTGCTGACAGCAATTCTTAACAGTTACAATCATGTAAAAGGTAAAGATTTCCCTGTCCAGTTATGTCTGACTCTAGGATGCAGTGTTCATCTCTACTTCTTGGCCCAGAGACCCAGTGTTGTACAAAGACATTTTCTGTGGCCATGTGACCAGCATGGCTATACGCCAAAGGTGCATGGAATCCAGTTACTTTCCCACTGAAGTGGTACCTATTAAACTACTTACATTTGCATGTTTTTGAACTGCTAGGTGGGCAGGAAAGGGAACTCATCCCATTGAGTGGTGCTCGGGTCTCAAACTCGGACTGTCAGTTTTCCAGCTGAAAAGCTCAGCATCTTTAATTGCTGAGTCATCACACCTCCCTATAGTCCTGTAAAGTCAGCCAAATATAATTTGTGTCTGAGGCTGATAACTAAAGGATCTGTATATATGGTGAAAAATAGCTACCATGTAGTTAAAAAATTTAGAGTATACAGCTAGTCTCATTGAATTACTATTCATTTAGCAACCATTTGAAGTTATGAAGGTGCCGAATGAGGGGACTTATGATTGATTCTCAATAGGTGTGGCTATTGTAGGAGGCAATATGCTGACTCTGTAAACCACTTAGCTCTCTAAGTGGTTTACAGAGTCAGCATATTGTCCCTATGAGACTGAGCAAATAATAATGATAGCCTGATCATTCAACTACCAGCCTCTTGAACATGGATTTTTACTAGGTGAACTAGAATCCAGTTCTTTGGAAGGATTAAGTGCCCTCCTTTATTAACAGCTTTTATACAAACACAAATATAGAAGAGTTGAAATGTTAACAAAATAATTAAATAGTCATAAAATATATATTAAAAATACACACTGAATGTTTACACTGTTCAGAAGGAGTTTTGTTTTTTGTTTTTCCATCTTAAATAGTCTGGAATTTGAATTTAACTGTGGAAGAATCTTTAAAAGACACACATCCCGTCCTATTCCTTTTTTAAGAGCTTAAAATAAGTATTAAGAGTTTCTTTTGAATATTGTGCTTATTTAAAATAGCAATAAAGAGAAAATCTAAGTATATTTATAATACATTTCATCTTCATTATCGGGAATTAGAATACAGGACTATCAATAATTATGAGAAATTGTTTCGGATAATGTCATTTAATAAACTGAACAATAGATCTTCCATTATTTTTAAGCATAATATATTTAACTGAATTCTGTTACTTGAATTTATGATTTACTCCCTCTTGTGGAATAACTGAAATGTAGCAGAGATGTTTCAGAACTGACTCATTCATAAAAACGTAAGATCAGAGCTGGTCATTTGACATTGTTTAAACATCTTGTATCCATCAGTAGCCAATCAGTAGCCATCTTGTAGCAACTTCCAATTTTCTTTACAGCAGTTATACATTGCATTTATATTTTATTCTTTCTCTCTATAGCTGTATCATGGCTCCCCTCTTTCCATATCCTATCCTTTCTAATTGTGAAACCCATAAATTACAAGTTCTTTTTTTCCATTTTCAGACAAAAGTCCATGAAGGATTTCCAGTCACTGATAAATATATTTGTTATCTTTTCCCTAATCAAGCAAGTCAGTTTAGCCATTTTTACAAATTCTGTCCTCTTCATTAACTTTCTTTACTTGTATTTCAGAGTCTCTCTTTGTTTGGGGGGAATAATATTTTGCTGCAGTACTATTTTCAAAGAATGAAGTACAAGTTACTGTGTATTGTTATTGTTTAGAAATTTCTTTAAAAAAGAAAAACTTGGAGAAGAAAATACAGGAAATTGGAGTACATGAATTGTATGTGTATTTGCATAAGAATTCTTAAATTTGTTCTTATATCTTTGCTCACAGGTTGAACAGGCCAGTCCTAGTAAGTGCTGGAGCTTATTCTTGGACTCTTTTCTATTCTCATAGGTAGTAAAAGTTTACAGTGAAAATCATACTTGCTGCTCTTTGGAAATCACAGCAGGGACCACGGCCCGTCATGTTTGTGAGATGCTGGTGCAGAAAACTCATTCTTTGCATGATGACTGCTGGTCTTTGGTAGAGGTCTATCATCACTTATCTCTAGGTGAGGAGGAAAAGAAAGAAAGTCCAGACCGCGAGTATACATGTGCATGCATTCATATCCACAAACACATCTTCGGTCAGATATAGCCATCACTCTTCACGCTGCTCTGACTCATCTAGAACAGGGGCTATGTGAGGATGCTTTTTGTAGATTTTAGTTCTGCTTTTAACACAATTCTTCCACCTAGACTAGTGTCTGAACTTCTGGACCTTGGATTTTCTTATTCAATCTGCCTTTGCATAATGGATTTCCTGTCTGGCTGCTCATAGAGGGTCAGATTAGGTAATCATACCTCTTCAGCCCTTATTCTTAACACTGGTACACCACAGGGTTGTGTATTGAGTCCCTTACTCTGTACTCTTTATGTGCATGACTGCATTCCCACTCACTCTAGTAATACTATTACTAAATTTGCAGATGATACAACAGTCGTGGGACTTATCTTTGGGGGGGATGAATCTGCCTACCGAGATGAGGTGGACTGGTTGCTTTCATGGTATGGAGAAAATAACCTGGTCCTCAACACTAGTAAGACCAAGGAGCGTATAGTGGACTATAGAAGGAACTGATCAGACATCCAGCCCTTGCTTATCAATGGAGACCGAGTGAAGCAAGTGGCTAGTTTTTAAGTTTCTGGTTGTTACCATAAAAGAGGACCTTATCTGGGGTGCTCCCATTGAAGCACTGGTCAGAAGGACCCAGCAGAGATTATACTACCTGAGACTTCTCAGAAAACAACAACTGAATGAAAAACTGCTGCCTTCTACCATAGAGATTATCTTAACTGATTGCACCTGTGTACGGTTTGCCAATTGCACAGTGGCCGATAGGAAAGCACTCCAGAGGGTTAACATCATTGTCCAGAAGATCATTGGTTGCCCTCTCCCTTCTTTGGAAGAGCTTTATAGCTCCCACTGCCTTAAGAAAGTTCAAACATTCTCAAAGATCCATCTCATCCTGGACACCCTTTTTTTGGACTATTACCATCTGGCAGACGGTACAGAATAATATAAACAAGCACAAATAGGCTGAAAAACAGCTTCTATCCCAGGGCAATATCTCTTTTGAATTCTGCTGTATAGTGCAGTGTTGGTGCAGTGACGGGGGGTTTCGGTTCAATGTGTGGAGTGTGAAGGATATGTATCTGTGTTTATTTTCATGGTCATGATACGCACTGAAGATGGTGTTTGATTTTGTGGTGCAATGACTAAACTAAATATATCCAGAAACGTTTTTACAAATAAAAATGAACTTTTTGCAATGAGAAGCTAAGACACTAAGGGGCCTAGTTCTCACATAGGTTGGTCCCATGTAAAAGGATGCTTCACCATATAAAATAATTCCTAGGATATAAATAATTAGAATATAAAGGAGTAGAATTTATCTATTTTTTATGTAAAAGAAAGCAAAACTCCTATGTAATTCCCCTACCTAAATCTAAAATGTTCAGAGATTGGGGAAAATTAGGTTACAAAGTGGGATCAGATAATTGAACATGATGGCTAACAGATTTTTCCAGTTGCTTGTATGTAGGCATCTAGCATTTTAAAAGACCCACTGAATGTAGATATGATGTTAATATAGTGTGTTTCATTCTCCCATTGTTTTCTCTAGAACGGATCTTAGAAGACCATGAGTCTGTGGTAGAGGTTCAGGCCACATGGCCTGTGGGAGGTGATAGTCGATTTGTCTTCCGGAAGAATTATGCGAAATATGAGCTGTTCAAGAGCTCACCAGTAAGTTGGAACAACTTTAAAAGTAGCAAAAACATCATTTTAATCCTGTGATTTGCTGTTATTTCATTTTTAAACAATACCAAATTTCAGGAATAAAATAGTGTTCCCTGATGCTATTGTAAAAATTCTGTATTTCACATCTCTAATGTTAACCCCCCAAAATAATGATTCCCACATTGTGGTCGATAGATCACCAGTCATCCATAACTGCTTGCCTTGTAACACCGTTAGTTGGAGAAAAGGGGCGTTGGTCCTACCTGAATGCTTCTTCTCGGGGAGCCAAAGGGAGAATCCAGGATGGGTAGTCTCTAGTCTCCTAGCTCTGCAGACCAAGTTGAAAAACTGAGGACACACCCCCTGGTAACGGTCCCCAATTCTGAACGATGTTGAAGCAAATTCAGCTGCTCCTTGTCTTCAAACAGATAGTTTATTGATACTGCAATAAAAAGGGACATTTCCTCCCTATTCTGACCAGACAGAATACAGGGTGGGACTGGATTCTCCCTTCAGCTCCCTGAGAAGAAGCGTTCAGGTAGAACCAGTGCCCCTTCTCCACTGAGCCGAAGGGAGAACCCAGGATTGGATATACCAAAGCTGGCTAATGGCTGTCCTACGGGTGGGAGCTGGAGGTCCCCACCTCTACATGCACACCCTGCAGGACTCGTCTTCCAAAGGACGCCTCCGCTGAGGCAAAGGAGTCAATTTTGTAATGCCTTATGAATGGAGTCACCGATGACCAGGTCACAGCTCTACAAATGTCCAGAATCGATGCTTGCGTTGCCCAGGGTACGGTGGTCGCTGCACTTCTGGTTGAGTGCTGTGATCCTCCTGAGCACAGGAAGGCTCTGTAACTTATAGGCCCTTGCAATGCAGGCTCTGAGCCAGCAACCTACTGTGGAAGGTGTCACCCTGAGACCTAAAGTTGATGGCTGAAAGGAAACAAACAAGACTTCCATCCTCCTAAAAGAAGAAGTTCCTTTAATGTAAATACAGAGGGCCCTCCTAACGTCCAAGGTGTGCCATTTTTTTCTCTAGTGCATGGATAGGCTCAGGGCAGAAATTAGGCAAAATCAACTCCTGTGAACGATGGAATAAGGAGTTCACCTTGGGCAGGAAGGTAGGGTCCAACCGCAGAACCACCCTGTCTGCATGGAATACACACAGATCTCGCCTGATGGATAAGGCGGCCAACTCCGAAATACGCCTGGCCGAGGTAATGGCCACCAAGAATGACACCTTGCATGTGAGAAGGCGAAGGCAGACTTCACGTAAAGGTTCAAATGGGGGAGAAGTTAGTGCCTGCAGGACCTTAGGCAAATCCCAGGTAAGGTAGCGGTGGCCTCAGATTCGTGGCTCCTGTAAGGAAGACCCTAGGGTGTTGGGCCAGAGAAATAGAGCCCTTGACCGAAATCACTGAGGCCAAGGCAGCCACCTGTCTCTTCAAGGAATTGGGGGCGAGACCTTTATCCAACCCATCCTGCAGGAACTCTAATACCTTTGCAACAGAAACCCCAGTGGGTTCCAATTGATGACAAGCGCACCAACTGCAGAAAATCTTCTGCAGTTGCTATCCTGGTCATGGAAGGTCTTCTGGCTGCCTGGATGGTCTGAATGATCTTTGTGGAAAACTTCTCCCGTTTCAGGATCCCCCGCTCAAGCGCCAGAAGGTCAACTGAAACCAGGCTAGATCTGGGTGCTCAATCGGGCCCTGGCTGAAGGAGATCTTGTGCAGGGGAATTCTCCAGGGTCTGGCGACTGACAGGCCATCAGGTCGGTGAACCAAGGATGCCTGGTCCAGTAAGGGGCTACCAACAGAACTTCCGCCCTTTCTATCAGTACTTTCCTGATTGCCCCCTGAATCAGGGGAAGGGGTGGAAGGCATACAATAGTCCCTGGGGCCACCTGCACCAGAGAGTGTTGATCCTTTCTGCTTCTCAGGCAGCGAATCAAGCAAAGAACCTCGGGAGGTGTGTGTTCTCTGGTGATGCAAAGAGATCCAGAATCAGGCAACCGAAGCGTTCCGTCATCTCCTGGAATAGACTGGGATGCAGTCGCCATTCTGACTGGTTGACTGTGGCCCTGCTCAACCAGTCTGTCTGCATGTTGGATACTCCCGAGATATGTTCTGCTCATAGGGACAACAGGTTTCTCTCCGCCCACCTGCACAATTGAGTTGCTTCCAGCATTAGAGATCTGGAGCATGTGCCCCCTGCCGGTTTATGTGGGCCTTGGTAGCCACATTGTCCATGAGGAGAAGCACATGTCTCCCCACCACCTCTTGCCTTAGATCCTTGAGTGCTAAGCGGGCAGCCCTGAGCTCTAGCCAATTTATGTTGTGGGTGAGCTCCTCTCGTCACCACCTCCCCTGGGTGACCTGGACTCCCAAGTGGGCCCCCCAACCATAGAGACTGGCGTTGGTGGTAATGGTAATCCTCTGGGGTTCCCTGTACAAGCTTCCCTGATCTAGGGCTCGGGACTGCCACCAATGGAGGGAACGAAGAACTGGCAAGGGGACGCGAACCCTCCTTGGAGAGTCACCCCTGCTTGCTCTCTGGTAAGGGAGCAGGAACCACTGAAGTGTTTGGGCGTGGAAGCGGGCCCTTGGGACAATCCCGATGCATGATATCATCTTGCCAAGAAGTTGAGACAGCAAGATGATAGGTGCCTCTCTGAAAGACAGGATCAGCGACGTGACTTCCCTGATACTGTCTCGACGCTCCTGTGAGAGAAAAACCTGTCCAGCCAAGGTGTCTATAATGGCCCCCAAATGCAAGATCCGAGTCGATGGTACTAGGTGGCATTTGTCCAGGTTTATCGAGAACCCATGCTCTCAAAGAATCCTGATTTGTCGACATCAGATCCTCCTCCGCCTAGGGTCTGGAAGAGGATGCTATCAGGATGTCACCCAAATAGCATTGGATCCTTATGGGTAAGGTTCTGAGGTGTGCCGCTACTGCTGCCAAGAGCTTGGTAAAAGTCTGAAGGGCTGATGATGGGCCGAACGGAAGAGCCCTGTATTGAAAATGGCAGCTAAAACCTCAGGAACTGACGGTGGTTGGGGTGTATGGGCACATGGAGGTAGGCCTCCATCAAGTCTACCGAGGCCAAAAAATCTCCCTCCTGCAGTCCCTCTAGAATGGAGTGGAGGGAATGCATCTTGAACCTTCGGTAGATTAGATGTCTGTTGAGCCCTTTCAGGTTGAGGATTGCTTGCCACCCAGGCCTTTGGAATCACAAACAACATTGAATAGAAATCCGATCTCTCCTGGTCCACCAGAACCAGCTGGATGGCCTGAATGTCCAGCAGATGGTGGATCGCTGATTCCATGAGATCTCTTGTTGAGAGGTCTCTGGAGACGGGGCAGCACACAAAGGCTCTTGGGGGGGAAGGAGAGAAACTCTAGAGAAGAGTTTCTGAAGAGTCTTGAAAAGAGCCAGCTGGAAAAGGCCCATCAAGGAGGGGGGACCTGCTACCTCCGACTCCACATCCGAAAAATCCCTTTCTGGAAGGAGGTCCCTTTTGAAGCCATAAATTTGGCTGCTTTCTGAAGGGGAGGCTGAGCACTCTTTGAAGTGGACCGGCTATTCAGTAGAAGCCTGCCCCTGCCCCTGCAGGACTCTTCTGCTAGATTCCAAATAAGACAGCTGGCGCAGCTGGTTGATCTCTGCCTGCAATTCCTGTCTTATTGTCTGGGAGATCCAGGCTCTCATGAAGGATGGCATTTCCTGCATCTGAGTCTCCTCCGGTCGTAAGCCAGCTGCTGAAGGTGTAAAGGTGGCTGCAGGCACAGATCTGGCTCCCCTAGAGACCTGGTCTGCAGGTGGCACCATCAAGATCCCCTGTGGCGGCTCAGAAAAATTGTGAGAGGTCTCAGCCCTGATTTGGAGGTTACCCTGCAAATCATGGGTACTTGAGCCCCCAGGAGACCAGGCCGTCCCATACTGCCTATCTACCAGTTGGTCTGGCTGCCTGTCATCTTGAGGAGGTAAAGTTTGAGGGGTATTCAGCCATCCTGGAATCTCTCACTGCCCTGTCAAACTGTTTGTCTATGGTTTTTTGTCTACGCCAGGCCTGTCTATCCTCAGCCCTAGAGGATCCCTTAGGGGCTAGAACCTTGGCTCTAATCCTAGCTGCTGCCTCCAGACCAACAGACCTGGGCTTGGGGGATCCCTTTACAGCCTCCTCTCTACCCTGCTGAGGAACTGACAATTCTTGATCAGCTCCCTTGGTGGCTATCTTTGAGCCCACCAAAAATAACTGTCACATGATAGGGATAGAAAAAGGGAGAAAGAAGTAGAAATAAAATAAAATAAGAAATATTCAGCCTAAGCGGTCAGCTACAGCCACAGTAGCTGTCCACCACTTCAGGAGGCTAGTGCGACCCAAAGGGTGAGCTCAGCTCAGCTCCGCAATTCAAAAGCCGAGTCTAGGGGTTAAAAAAGGTTGAAAAAACGGCTGCCTCTTTGAATTGCAGCAAGCCCTGACAGGGGCTGGTGCTGGCTGCACGGCAATTATCAGGCAGACTCAAGCATCTCGCAGCTGCCATGGTGCTCTGGGGACTGGATGGGCGGGGTGTCAGGATTTAATCCTGATGGCCAGAACCCCCGCAAGGGACAATCCTGGAGATGAACTGCAAGATTGTCCCTAAACGCAATAAATGGCCGCTGCCACCAGAAAGGGACAGAAGCGCTTAGGGGCAGCTGCGGCTCATCTCAGGCAAGGGAAAGTGGATTGGGAGGAGGCGAATTAAATAAGACGCTGACTCCCACTCCAGCCCAGGCCACACCGGCTCTCAGGGTCACCTCCACTCAAGTTTTGACAGAAAACAAAACAAAAACCAGTCCACCAGCAAGAAAAGTCAAAAATTAAATTAACAAGCAAAAAAAGACGAACCAGAAAAAAGGCGCGAAAAAATGAAAGTGCTAAACTGGCAAGCTGGCTAGCTGTCAAACCTGAGCTAAGCCCCTCTGCGAAAAAAAGCTAAATCCAGGGGGTGAAAATTCTTCTACAATCCTAACTATTCAGAGCCCTTAAAGGGTGGTCTGAACATGCTGAGACCGAGTGAAGAACTGGGGACCGTTACCGGGGAGGGGTTGTCGTCAGTTTTTCAACTCGGTCTGCAGAGCTAGGAGACTAGGGACTACCCATCCTGGATTCTCCCTTCAGCTCAGTGGAGAATAGATCAGTATAGAAACAGAAAACTGGTTCATTGAAGCAAAGAAGTGATAACAATACAAGCAACATGTGTACTATATTACAGCAAATTTATTTACCTCCTCCCCCAAAGTGAGCTTCTGTGTTATTAAAATACAAACTGCTGTGAAGGACTTGTTTATTTCATTGGGCAGTGCTCATACTTTAAAAAGTATGATTGTCCATGATTGAAGAAAATTTGAGAAGCATGATTTTGAAAATATTCTTTCTACAGAAACTGTTGTTGTCTAGCTTTTATACTTTATGATTAAATATATGCCTCAGAAAATCATTAACTGGCTAAGATGGCAATCTAATTTAATAATGATCCCTTTTATATTAGGTATTGGAATAATTATAGAGAGACAGTTTGATTGATGTATTGGTTAAGGCACCAGGCTAAAAACCAGGAGACCGCAAATTATAGTCTCTTTAGGTACAAAGCCAGCTGGGTGACATTGGACCAGTCATACAAACTCAGTCCTAGAACGAAGGCAATGGTAAATCACTTCTGAAAAAAATGGCAAGAAAATTGCAGGGTTCCAGGTAGTGAACAGGAATCAATACTAATCCAAAAATACCCAACTCCCCCCAAAAGAGTAAACATAAAATAACTTTTGTGGAAACTTGAAAGCCAAATTTTTACAATTTTAGTAGGGGGTTACAGTACAAATATAAGCGCAATAAAATTTTAAAAAATCTAAAAATAAATCCACATTATAGCACTCAGACCACTTTTTCCCTTTGGTATTAAAACAGTATGTTTAAGAACACCGTGATACAGTATATGACAGCCCAAATTCATGACATTGTTCTGCTTTCCTTTCTTGCCCATAGCAATCAATATTTCCTGAAGTTATGGTTTCCAGATGTCAGGATGCAGCTAATAAAGGCATGTCCCACCTAGAACTCATACAGGTAATTTTCTTTTTCTTTTACCTAAGAAACAAGAAATCATTTTTGTGCTGGGGATTACACTTATACATAGTGTGTGTGTGTGTGTCTATGCATTTATGTATTTGTGTGCATATATCTTCAGAAGCTTCTGTTTATGTGTGCATGCACATATTTATATTTATTAGGCTTAATGCTGCACAATCATAAGTGACTCTGAATAGCTTATAGATCTAGTAGTAAGATTATATAGATCAGTAATAAGATTAAAACAATATTAAAAAGAAATTCTACGGATCAAATCACAACGAAGTTCCCAACACTGAGGATAAATTATTTAGACAAATATTCACTCTGGGGATGAGACAAAGACTCTTCAAATCCCAAAGGCTTGTTAAAATATAAATCACAGGATGTGTGATTGTGATTTGGTGATAATCACTGAGGAGAGATGTGCTCGTCTTTGGTTGACTATTTTTGCCCTGGGGTCTTTGGTTATGTAAAACAGACATTTTGACATTCGACATGTCGGCAACATTTCCCCCTCTTCAAAAATCATGCTACCAAATGTCAGTTTTGACAGTTTGTCACTGTTCTGTATTCTGTACAGTGGTAGGTTTGTCTTCTGTACAGATGCAGATAGATAAACTCAACAAAACATCCAAAACAAAGTACTTTTATTAGTTCATTAGGTATCCTCATAACTCACATTTGTGACAAAGTTCTTCTTTAATGACCAATCCTTTGCATATCTGTCTTGTAGGTAAAAAGATGGTTCTCTCCTATCCTTTTTCCCTCATCTCGTAGCGATAGAAGTAGAATAGTTACCATGAGTCCATGAATTCAGCCAAGAGAGAGGAAAACTCCTCTAACCCATGGAGGGTCAATTTTGTGACCAATCAGGATTACAGATGTAGTCACATGACATGGACTACATTTCCCAGGATACCTTAACTAAATTTACCATGATACATTCCCTTAAGGGGACAGCTCACAATTGCTACCTAACTATCCAATTCCCATACACTGGCTGGACAGCACAGTCACATCTTTACAAGAAAAAAATATTTGCAATCCAGGATGTGCAAAAAGGGAACTTGGGTCATTCCTGCTTTACTCATTCAGTTTTTTTCAGTTCCCCTATCATTCAAAAGGAGAAAACAGAGTTCTTGGATGCTTTGATACAGAAACTAGTTACTGGCACTTTATATTGGACGGGAAACAACCAGAAATTTGCACTATAAGTTATATCACCTTAATTATTTACCCATTATGAAAGGAAGGAATAAACTATATCTGTAAAATTTTGTACAATATGAATAAAATGTTCAAAACTTTTATTGTAAAAGTTATTTATTCATTGGCAACCAATTCTAGCCAGAGAAGGAATATATTTCTCCATACAGTATGCAATTAGGTTAATTGCCTTAATTTTGGATGGCTTTAAAAACAGTAGACAGATTCATAAAGGACAAGAGTTTTCCAGAAATTACTTAATAGTGTGTAAATATATTTGTTTCCTATATTTTTCATTTTTAAAATGTCACTTGAATTTAAACTATGTCAACTTTTTATGGCTGGATTTTCTGCTTTTTGTTGCTGGAAGGTACTTATTTAAAAATTAAGTATACCTATTGGTCTCTGGGATGTGGTAATGATTTCTGGAAGTTTGGAGAGAGTTTAAAAGGTGAAAGGAGGCTTCAGACATACATTCTGCCCTGTAATTCCCCCTCTGCATCCATTACCAATCTCTGGAAAAACCTAGGGCTGCTATATGTGGTCCATAAAAATCCATATGACCGCTAAATATTGGCTAATGATTTCCTGCCATCAGATAGTCAAGTAAATTTTCATAGTTCAAATATGATAGTTCTGTGTTTTGTTCTTAAATGAGGCAGAATAGATCTAACCAACCATATTATCCCAAACCTGCATTATTACAAGCAAGTTGTGATGATAACATGACTTGGGATGCTTGGGATGGTGGGCACAAAATGAATAACAGATCACGTGAGAATACAGGTTGTGTACACCTGGATTTTCAAAATATATAATACATCTTTTTTTCCCTTTTTTTTGCTCTATCCCTGGTGAAATAACATTCATACCTTGGTATTCAACTGCTTCAAAACTTGTTGAATTTGGTACTCAGCGCGTTTTGAAGAGAAAATGTTGCCATGGGGCTCATTTTTCTCCCAGTATTTGACACACAGTAGAACTTGCTGATGTTGGCTGCCTCATAACTTTCTACTCCTTCCTGTTGAAATAAAAGTTCATGTGGTAAATCACATGGTTTGCTTGGTACTCATCATTTTTAGTAGTTGTTGCTCTGCCCAGAATGAATTAGCATTGAATACCAAGTTACCACTGTAGGTTTTTTTTGACAACCAAAACATCTTTTAAGGAGTTTTAAGGAGAAAATACAACAACCACACTCTCTTGTATCAAGAGTACCAATGATACTACCTAGTTTGGTTGTGAAACATTTACAAGAAGAAAACTAAGCTCAGCAAACAGCAGGATGTCAACAAGTACTTTAGAAATATGAAAATTTCATATTCCCAGGTTTGCATGCTATAAATTTATATCATGCAACACAGAACTTCCATAATTTTCCCTCCTCCCATAATTCCCCCCATTCAAAACGAAGCAATTCAAGCCATTATCAAGGAAAACTACCAGTAAATTTGTAATGCAGCCTGAATCTTTAATTCCATTTTTCTCCCAGAATGTTCTAAATTCAGGAAGCTGTCCTGAAATTCAAGGATTCTTGCATCTGAAGGAAGTTGGGCGCAAAGCCTGGAAAAGATTTTACTTTTCTCTGCGGCGTTCTGGGCTCTATTACTCAACAAAAGGCATGTCAAAAGTAAGTTTGTGAGTGCAAGATATAATGGAAGAATCCCTTGGTTTTTTTCACTATCGATAACAGTTCTGAGTGTGTATTGCAACAGCTTTCACAGAAAGGAAAGCAGCAGTCAGGGTTAATCAACAGCAACATTTATAAGAATGATGTTTGTGTGAAGTTTGACAGCAGAATCTGGTGATCTGGGACTTGGTATATCCAACTGGAAACTGTCAGACAAATCAGAGACTAATGGAAGTAAAATTTATGCTTCCCAAATATTATGGATTTCTAGAATTCACTGGATATAAAATATGTTTAAGCCCAAATAAAATAACATCAATAATAACTTTCATCTTTGATAATAATACATTTCTCTTCAGCTTCTCAGTAATCCTTATAACCCTGTTAGAAGTAATTCATATTATTATTCCCACATCTCTAAAATCAAATGGTTGAACGTTTCTTGACTGCCGTGCTGTGTCTGTTCAGAAATTAAAAACTTGTATGTGTTATGGACATGTGCACATTTTCTTCCTTTATTTAGGGAACTGAGATGGGAACTGCACAAAATATAGTCCTCCTGGTCCATAATTTTTTTATTTTTTTAGTAGTTATGAAAGCTACTTTTTCCTGGACAAAGAAAAAATCTTTTAATTTAGTAGGATACTGAGTTTTGCATCAGATATTAAATTCAGTTCTTGGCTATATCTAATCATGCATAGGTAGAATATACAGAATATATCTAAAACCCCAGATTCAACTGGTATGAAGTAAATCTCATTTGTTATTATATATCTATATATATTATATTTTCTTGCCTCCCTTATGCTAGGACCCCCGGCATTTACAATATTGTGTTGACATAAATGAATCGGTCATTTATTATATAAGCCAAGGCAAAAAACAATATCACACACCCACCGAGTATGGCTTTTGTATCAAGGTAAGACAAGTGAGAATTAATCTTGGGTTCATTCCACCTTTAATCTCTTTAATCTCCCTTTAACTTTAATTTTAAATTATCAGGTTCATTTAAAATACCCATAGAATTAAATATTCAGGTTCAGGTAAAATATACAATGAGTATTGTTCTTCAATTGGTAGATCAATTTATGACCCTAACTTTAAGCTTTGATTCTCTTAGAAGTTGTGGTTTATAATTTTTTAAAAAATATTTTGAGGGTTCTTAATTTAATTCTTGGAATGTGGTGACTCAGTGGCTGAGATGCTGAGGTTGTCGATCAGAAAGGTCGGCAGTTCGGCGGTTCAAATCCCTAGTGATCTGCCATTAACTGTCCCAGCTTCTGCTAACCTAGCAGTTTGAAAACATGTAAAAATGCAAGTAGAAAAATAGGGACCACTTTGGTAGGAAGGTAACAGCGTTCCGTGTACCTTTTGCATTTAGTCATGCCAACAGATAACCATAGAGACATTTTCAGATAGCTCTGGCTCTTCGGCTTGGTAACGGAGATGAGCACCGCCCTCTAGAGCCAGAAATGACTAGCATGTATGTGTGAGGGGAACTTTTATCTTTACCTAATTTAACTCTCAATATCCAATATCCTATTATTGAGCCTAGAGGGGCAGGAATTTTTTTTAAAAGAATAATAATAATTTTCTTTTAATGTTTCATTCTGTTTTTAGTATATAAAGGCTTGATTTTAAACCTTTTTACACAGTTTGCATATCTATTTTATCTTTTCAATTGGTTTTTAATTTTTTTGTATTTTAATCCTGGGCCCAAACTCAGGAAGAGTTGCAATAAGCATCCACTCTGAAGTTTAACCTGGGAATAACTTAATTTTCCTGACAAGCCCAATATGAAAAGAATAGAACTACCATTATTTAAAGGTTGATGAAAATAAACAAACTCAAAAAGTAAAGCAAGAGCATATGGATATGTATTTTGAGCATTTGAGATCCTGATTTTGATACATTACTTAATTTTCTTAAATTTTTTATTCCATATGGGAAGAATCTTGATTTAGGATGATGATTCCCGAGTCAAGATACCTCTAAAGCAGGAGGCTTAATGATAATTGAGACCAAGCTCATGTAGAATTTTTTCAGATGTGGAAGAGGAAAGTCTTGCCAGAGTTCTCATGTTGTGGGCATTCTTATCAGTTTTCCCTTTCTCTTAAAGCCACATAAGGCACGCAGTGGAGTCAAAGGACTGAAGCTATTTTGCTGTGAAGATGAACAAAGTCGCACATGCTGGATGGCTGCCTTTCGTCTCTTTAAGGTGAGAGCCATTCAGTTTGGCACTGGAAATAAATAGGAAATTTCTTTCAATGTAAACAGGAAACCATCTTCCTCCAAATAGGAAGGAAAGAGAACACCCTCTTCCTCCTTATTGCAACCTGGCCTCAAAAATTGAATTTTTCCTTTTTCAAAAGATTGCCATTTCAGTAACATTTAGCTTGACATGGGATTTTCAGCTCTGACCACACCATCCTTCAAATCTTGTCTGCTGTATTGCTATATTGCTGATCTCCAATTGCATTTGGGAGCTTTTAACAATTTGCATGGTCTCAATACTATGCTTTATAGAGAAAAGATAGTTTACTATGGTAGTACTGTACATATTGTCAAACTTGCCACTTTCAGGCATAGAAAGCTGTTACAAGGGCTGGAGTTGCTCTCTCTATATTAACAACCATTAATCTTTCCTCAGTACGGCATACAGCTCTACAGAAACTATCAGCAATGTCAGACACGCCAAAAGGAACCAGCTTGGTTTGGCACTGTGCCCCTAGTAAGTAATCTGATAACAAATTAGTTGTTTATTATTTAGTATTTTATTATTTTGATAGCTTATGGAGGTGTAGACATTTTAGAAATACTTTCATCTTATAAGCATATATCTCCTGAGAGGATAAAACTCTTTCTGGAGTTAATTTTAAATGGGAAAATTTTCTGCAGGTGTATTAATTTCACCCACCCACTTCCTGTTAAGCAAAATGGTCACAATGTAAAAAAGGAACCAAGATAAAAACACACTGCAAACCAGCACAATGGTTGTTGCCCTCTCATTCAGATAAAGTTGTCTCTATGCCATTATCATTCTTACTCCTGTGTTCGATATTGCCAGGACATGAAATTTAATCATAAACACATGCATTGGTCAAAAATGAGTTTCTTATTATTGTCATAATAAATAGTGTAATAAATTTCATTTTACTATGGTCACTAACCAAGATAGTCACTAAATGAGAATGGTTCTACTTCACCAGATTGCAACATATTACTTCTGCTCAGTTTCCTGTGCAATTCAGCACTAATCAACATGTTAGCTTTGGTTTTTTTAAAAAAAACATAAACATATAAATACTATTCTGTAAATGGATAACATTCATTTAAAGAATAAAGAAGGACAAAATTGAGAGAGTTTCCAAACAAATTGCAAAACCAAATTTACCCAGAGGAATCTTTATAATTACTGCTTTATATTTTACTCATGTCTTTGTGCTGAGAAAGTTTATATATGAGGCTCTGTTGGAAGGAAATTTTACACTGGAATAAGAACTTTAGTTTGGGATTTAAAACATTTTCTTTCAGATATTATGATTTTGATTTTTGATGTACATAGTGCTATATATTCGTCTTCTTGTCTATCACATTTTTATATTTAGTTTTTTTAGAGATCTATCTATTGTTTATCCCTTTATAGCTCCAGGTAGTTTACAAGCAGTCTAGTAGACAATTCATTTACATAGTTATTAAAAGATAAAAGAAATAAAAATACCTGAATAAAATGTTTTAAATTCCCTCCCAATTGTAGCCTTTAGGAAACTTGTATAAATACCCTAGTAGTTTATGAGGGTGAAGGTTCGTTCTCTGAGCTTGGTGGGTTGGTTTCCGAAGGTTTTGTTACCAGGCTAAGTAATATCTTCAGAGGAGTTTAGGGGGTGTTCTTCTGTTTGTAAGGGCTTCAGGTATGTGTGTCAAGTAAGGGTCTTGTGATGGGTCAACTATGACAAGGAGATTACTTCAGGTCAGGGTCATTGGGAGGTAATTCCTAAACTCTGCTGAAAATGTTACCTAGCCTGGTAACAAAACATTCAGAAACCAACCTAGAGGACAAACCTTCACCATCATCCTCCACCCGAACTTCAGATATTTGCCACTATTGCTGTTCTATATTAGCATTCTCCAAACCTCGAAATCCAATTGGTCCACACGGGCTGCAATCTGATTGGTCAACTGAGCGGCCGTGATTGATGCGCTGAGAACCTCCTGTGATTGGCCAAGCCGATCACGGGAAATTCAAAGCCCTGTCATTAGCCGCCGAGCCGCCGGCCGGCTCTATAAGAAAAGCTGCGCTGAGCTCAGGCCCTGTACCTAACTGTATATTCAATAAAGAGCTGAATGTGTACTTTGAGTCTCGCGTCTCCATGCGACCCGATCTACCAGGCATCGATCTACCCGGGACCGATCTCCCAGGCTTAACAATTGCAATTCACTATTTTTGTTCCCAAGTATGAAAAACATCAAATCTGTTGTCAGTGTGCAGCCATTTATTTTGTTCTTTATTTTATTTTAAAGAAAAGAAGCTTAAATATATATTTAAATAAGCCTTATAATTTAGAAACTGGTATGCAGTATCAGAACTTGAAACAAACCTTAGAATTTTGATATGTGACACCAAAACTTGCTAATTGCTAGGTTAAGTATCTCCCTTCTTTTCTTTAAAGATTTTTGTAAATACTTTTTTTAAAGGTACTAAATTAGGCTCACCTTACCATGCCGCCTGTAGGAATTGATTATGTACTACTGAATAGAGCAATTGCTAAACTCTGTTTTAAAAATCCACCAGCGGAGCGTGTCTGATAATACCCTCGTTGCCATGGACTTTTCGGGGTGTACAGGGCGAGTGATTGAAAACCCCAGTGAGGCACTGACTGTAGCTCTGGAGGAAGCTCGGGCATGGAGGGTAAATCTTCTATTTATTTCTTACTTAGGAATTTCAGGGACATTAATACAGAAATGTTACAGAAAGAGAGCTGGGTTAATCTATGGTGGCAACAGATTAACAGGGTTCACATATTATATTTAATCATAAACTTGGAATAGCAAAACCCAGTTACTGTGATATTATAACATTCCCACAAAGTTAAAATCTATTAAGACTTACTAAAGTCTTACTCAGACTTTATTCAACGTGTTAAGAAAATAGCACAGTTTCTATGATACATTCACCCAAAGCCCACTGTATTTCATTGTAGCTAAACTATGAGTGTAGTGTATGTGTAACTGTGTGTGAATAAATTCAAAGTGTCTTTAGGAAACGAAATGTCTCATAAGAGCTGAATCCATTTGTGAGGCCAGCAAAGGAATTAAGAGTTTAGGGCAAATGGCAAGGATGTGCAGAGTTGAAACCTAAAAGCCTAACATTGGAATGTCTTGGAGCTTGGTCTAGTAATTAAACAAAGCAATTCTTGTATTAACAAGGATTTTAAATACGATCAGGCTCCCATTCTTATTAGCCTGAACCAAATACACAGTAATGTTCATTAGTTGCTTAAAATTCCTGTTGGTTTGTTTGTTTTTATATGATTTATATAGCTGCTCATCTCACCTAGATGAGTCTAAGTGATGTACAAGGATGAAAAGCAGAAATTCACAGAGCTCATAAATAAAACAATGGCCCCACTTACAACCCCCCCTCAAAAAAAGCCTACATGGACAACAGCACAACTCAGCTAACCTCCAGTCCCAAACACCTGTTTATTATTTCCCTTCTTATTTCTGTTTCTCTTTATGCCAAGCAAAAAAAGTCCAATATTGATATTCCTGAACACATTTATTGCTTTGATGATACAAGAATATTATTAGACAAGTAAATCTGAATTAATTTAAGGCAACTCAAAAATTAAGTCATTTATTATACTATCTGGCTTCTGTGAAACCCAGCAGCTTTGTCAGATGACTATAATGAAACCAACCCTTCTCCAGGGAAGTTTACAGTCCAATCTCAATGTTTACTCCGAAGAAGCTCCAACTCTATATAGTAAATTTAGGACAGCAATTTTTGTAAATGTTTGTATAGTTACTCACTGGAATTGGTCAAAAAGTATATGGCAATTAGTCAGGACAATTCCTGATATTGTTGTCTGATATGATGGCAACTTGAACAACCTCTGGTGTTCTTTTTTCTATGCTGCAGAAGAAGACATCTCAGCGATACAGCCTGCCCACTGCATTCCAGAGCTGTCCATTCGGTGCTGGTGAGTGCCTGCCCCAAGGATATGATATGTAGCCATGTTGCATATGTGCAACATTAGCCGAATACCTGATTGATGTTGTTGGTAGCAAATTAAGGGATGAATGAAGGCGAGTGATTGATCAGGGGGAAATAATGCTTTTTCTTACAGCATTTGCTGTAGTGTTCATCTAAACTCACAATACAATCAGCATGACTTTTTAAAAAAATGGAATTCCAGTTCACTCTCTTGGAACATAGTAGGCAGGATGCGGTTGAATTACAGATGCATTCATATGAATTGTTTAACTGAAGCACAGTTGAACTGTTTCAGTATTTGATTGTTGTACTGGGGTACATAAAATCATAAGACAGGACAACAATAAAGTGCTTCTGAGAATACACTAATTGTCCTTCCCTACTTGTCCCTAGTAGCAAAATAGCTAAAACAGCTTACTATTCCAAATTAGAATAGAATACTTGCATTTATGTTATTAATATATTCCTTTCAGCAACTTATGACAAAACGGTAAGGTGTCTTAGAAATAGTATCCAACATTATTTTGTACAATTTCTTCATAGGGAAATCTGCAGTACCATAATAGTCCCATATATAAGAAAATCACAAGTGTGATAGATAGTTTTTACAATCTATTTACTTGCAGATAAAGACTGAAAGTTGTGAAATGTTGGTTGACAGCATTGCAGATAACATGAAGGAAGAATGGAAATGAAGAGAGGTAGAAATGAAAGAATTTCCCATTAATTAAACTTCAATTTAATGTAATTGGATTTCTTATTGATTATATTAATTCCTGACAGATTATTGATTAATTATTATTCCCTGTTCGTCAGCTTCGATTTATTCTCAGCAGCTCAACATTTACAGGGTAAAAAATGGATCCTTCAATCATGATCTTTAATTCTCTTCATTGTAGAAGTTAATGTTTACATCTGAAGCTCTTTGTGAATATTTGTAATGCTTTGCTTCTCAAATAAATTTATTTATTTCTTTTTTCCTTTTCCTTTTTCTCTTTTTCTTTTCTTCCTTCCTTCTAGCCATCCACAAAATGCAACCCTGGTTCCATGGTCACATTTCTAGAGAAGACACCCAGCGACTTATAATTCAACAAGGACTTGTGGATGGGTATGCTGCTTGAGTAACATTCCAGTTCATAATATTAATTTTACTACTATATTCTGATATGGAGCTGTAGAAATTGGCCAATATGGAGACGGATATTGATGTACACCGCATAAGAATATTGTAAGAGAGTAGAACAATGTATTTCTTTATCTGGGAGAGGCAAGCAAGGACAATTAGCAGTCGCTTTTCTTCACCTTCATAACCACCAGAAGTTTTGTTAGGCTTTGACTTTCAAAGAAAAAGAATCACCATCTATCCAAATACTTGGCTGTTGCATCTCCCAACTCTGCAGATAAATTCATTCTAGCAGCTTTCTATAATATGGCCCTTTAGGTGGGTTAGGACATTTGCAACTTTCAGATCTGCAATCTGTAGACATCTGAAAGAGTCTAGTTAGTATGAAAAAAGACAAATTATTCAAAGATGTATAATTTGCAAGCATTGCAATAGAATAAATTGGAACAGTGGACGGGGAGTGGCCAGGTGATGAAAACTAACCCTTCTTTGGGGTCTGATCAACTGCAGGTTATTCCTGGTGCGTGAAAGTCAGAGGAATCCCAAGGGCTTTGTCTTGTCCCTTAGTCATACGCAAAAAGTGAAGCACTATCTGATACTTCCGGTAAGTGAACAAATGAAACTGGCTGAGCTGCTTTCATCCATCCAACCTAGTTTGGTGTCTAAATGTAAAGCAGGATATTTTTTCTTGGTTTCTTACGTAAATTACTATTGCTTCAGTATCCTAGGGGTTATATTTAAGTATTCTGCATGTATTGTTCTGTTGTACTTTACCTTCTACAAAACATGGGGTAGAGCACTTCTATCTGAGATTAATTCCTGAAATAGAGCCTGACACCACATTCTACTTCTTCTGTACTCTTTTGCCTCTATTTCTGTGCCAATGTTTTCTAATTCTTTATGCTTTTCAGTGTGAAGAAGAAGGACACCTCTACTATACCATGGATGATGGCCAGACGCGTTTTGCTGACTTGATTCAGCTAGTGGAATTTCACCAAATTAATCGTGGCATCCTGCCTTGCAAGCTGAAGCACTATTGCACGTGTGTTGCCTTATGATTGACTGTCACCCATTGGCCATTCCTGGGCCCTGAATTACCATTGGCTAAGGTTTATATGTAGGTCTTTTTGAAATGCATACATCAGGACCTACTTCAGACTTTCAACATCTCTGTCCCCTTGCCTTCAGCCACTCCTACAAGAAACCAAGTAAAGAACAGTGTTTGAAATTTCCCGTGAGGCTATTCATCAGTAAGCCTTCAGATTATTATTATTTTTTTCAGAATCAAAGAAGGATTTCAGGTCACAGTATAGTAGTTTAGTTTGGAAACAGTCACAACATTGTTGGCTGGTGTCTTTATTTTCCCATATTATTTTTTTTACCTCTTCTGTGCCCTTCTATATGTATGTTTTAATACAGATTTTGTTTTGTCACCATGTTACAGAAAATTTGCAGTGTTGATTATTTAATGTTTCTAATATGATTACCAATTTCCAATAGCCTGGTCCAGCATGTATGCCAGACTTATGCATTGTTTCAAAACTCTAACTGACTAGGAACAATAGTAAGATATTAGACCTGATTCTTATTGCAAATCAACACAGATATACAAAAGTCTTATTAACTCTCTTAAGAACTATTGTCTGGTTCTATCAAAGATTCTATGGGTGCTGTCACCTTTGTTAGAAAAATAGTTTTTTTATTGTTCAATCTCTTCCCTGGTACCTAGTAGCATCACAGTTGATGAAAGTAAATGCAACCTGTTCAAGGGATGGGCTACAATGTTATGAGGATCCAAGAAGAGTCTTTGAGGCTGTCCTGAAAGAATCCACAGCAAGAAGGCTCACATGAAGTCCAAAGACTGCTCTGAAATTTTTTGAGACTGTCAGATCTAAGAACAGTGGGCTGCCTGGTAGGCAGAATCACCTTGGGCTTTGGAGAATCACAAAACCCATGAATTTTTCTAATTGTGAGTCTTATTGCAGAGCAAAGATTGAAAGGTTTTTTTGCTTAAGTTTAGTTAATGTGACAGATGACAGATTTAGGTTTGAAGAGTTGTTTCCCCCCCACCCCTTGTATTAAGGGCTTAAAATATTGTGGGAGGGAGAAAGGCTAATGCCAGAAGGCTATGACATTCTTATTTCTGCTACTTTTTGAGGCCAGTCTATACTGTGATCTTTTTTGTTTGTATATGTAAATACTGGTAATAAATCTTATTTTTTATGATACCTCATGTTGGTTTTCTGTTCAAGTCAAGTTGTGAAACAACTAAGTAATTGCAACTTTTGCTATCAATGTTACCTTATAGAATCTTTTAAAAAAAATCTCCATATCTAAGGCACCAGATTTCTAATATCTAATTCAACATAAATGTATTTCATCCTCATGTTTTCCTATCCTAAACACTGTCTGCAGCAGGAATGGTAGCGAGATAGCTAACAGATATCAAATAACACATAATCAGAGTTGGAAGGGACACTTCTTTCTTTGCCATATTTAAAAATTTGACTGCCCAGGATCTTTCCAGATGCCTTGGAGAGACGAGAGCTAAATAACATTTACAAAAGCATCCAGTATGTATTACTTGAAAAATTATTGTATCAGGAAAAAAAGATCACTAAGTTCCAGATTAGTTTTGATGATTCTATGATATTTTGTCTACAAACAAACCAAGCTGGGTAATGTGCCTTACAAAGGTTATTGGGAAATGCCATTTTCTTTTTTCCAAATACTTTGCCAAGTCTCATGGTTTTGTTTATGCATCACGAGTGGCTGATCCTGGAACTAATTAGATGGGATTTGTATGCAAATCCATTTGGAATTTAACAAAATTCGGGAGATTAAGAGTTTACATTTTAGCCAATTAGGTCTTAAGCTGGCCTTTTTAAAGCCCTTTGAACCCTTTGGAGAAGATGTAAGGGCACCAAGTTTTTAGGAAGTTCAAGTCTTTTCAAAAGATTTTTTTTAAAGTCCCTTTTGGGAGTTTACATCTCTCTCCTACACATAGGGCACTATGTCTCCCAAAATTGTACTGATAACAGGTTGTTCATCTGGCATTGGGCTGGCTTTGGCTGCTAAACTAGCAAAAGATAAGCAGAGGAGGTTCAAAGGTGAGTTTTCAAAATTGTGAATTTGTGTGTGTGTGTGTGTGTGTGTGTGTGTGCCTAAATAGTGTACAAGGAAGCCATGGATAGCTAAGTTCATTAAATATATATATATATATATATTTTTTTTTTTTTTTTTTTTTTTTTTTT